CTCAAAAGTTAAAATCCGAAACTTTTTCAGTGGTGTGACATCTTTCGCAAAATATCTTCGCAGGGTGCACCACCTGCAGGTGATTTTGGGACAATAATTTTTGGTTTTTCTTATTGCCCCAACATTTTTCTTTCGACTAGTAAAAACCGCAGCTCCGTAGCTACATTCTAGAAAAAGTTATTAAACAAATGGCCATGGTCTTTCTTTTTTGAAATCGATGATAGCCTAAGGGGTTACATATAGTTATTATAAATATTTGATAGAACTACAAAAAAAAGTGATGATTAATCTGAAAGAAAAACTCGAAAGAGGCGTTGTTTAATTGATGATTGATTCAAATGTTCGGTGTATAAAGTATGCTATGAGCTGTATGATTGTAAGTCTTAGACATTCCATTATCGAAATGCCAGCTGCAGTTGCCAATGGAAGGCTAAATTCAATCACAATCTGGAAGCCATTCATATTCTATTCAAAGTGCATACTTTCCTTATACTATTGCTGTTTGTCATTGCGCACTAAGTTATTTTGAGCAATTTCAGCATACGCTTGAACAAGATCACACGATTCTTTTTTATTTCTGTATTCGCCATCCATGGTTGAATTAATCAATGATAACACGTTTTTTTGGCGAGTGCCTAACGCAACTGTCCAAAATTTGGTTATAACACTGCGAAATTGATTACATATTATATTTAATTCTTCAGCTGGATAACTAGCTTCACCATCACTCATAAATATAATCACATTTTGAAAATGTTGAAAATTTCTGTCGTGGCATAACTGATCAATTACTCTTGGGACATACCTGAATGCTGCTGCAAAATTCGTTCCGTGTCCCTTGTATTGTATACGTGTAATGTTTATGGCTTGTAATTCTTCATTGACATAAACTGGTGCTACGGAATCGTTGAAGACAAGAATCGTTACTCGATCGCCCATGGCTGCGGCCAGGCGTAAACGAATAAATATTGTGACAACTTCGATTAAATCGTTCCACGGTTGTCCTTTCATTGAACTAGAGGCATCTAACAACATAATATAATGACATGGTATAGTTTCTGTTTGATTCGAGTTATGCATGACGTATTCCATATGATACTCTTGGCATAGCTGTCCACCAATCTTCTGCCAAATGATCGCATATTTTCCTCTCAATCGATTTAGATCATTCTCACTCAGACTGGTCGTATCAAAATCCCAATCAGAGTGATCATTCTTGAATTCGGCCCACGTTTTTCGAACACCGCTTACGATCAGTACCTGTTTGTCTTTCAAATCTTCGCACATAAATAACGATGCTTCGTTAGATACCTCAAACTTATAGCCGGCCATTCCACGATACTGATGTCCCATTTGACAATGTTCAGAACAACCACATGCTTTGATTAATAGTCTTTTATAAGTTCCCTTTTTGTCACAATTGACAAACGTACTATCCCGTTCCAGTAATTCTTCACATACACCTTCTTTTCGTACAATAACGGCATTTAAGAAAGTCACTAGATTTGTGATAGAACATAGATCATAGATACTTTTCATATGTATCGTGAGTTCAGCTAATTTCGAACTCTATTTCCGTGATTGTTCAAATACTTGGGAACCATTTTCTTTCAGCTGGTAACTCTTTTCATTGAATGCTAGTATTTTGGAGACTGGTTCTCCGACCAAATAGTTGTACAACACAAGAGCCATACAACGCCCTTATTTCTGTCAGTGCCTGAAGTTAGTTGAGCTTAGGGAGTTTTCACTTTAAGGAAAAATCTACCTTTACTAAGTTATAAATGTGTTTTTTTTTTCTTGTAGATGGAGATATTGACGGAGCGACTATGTATCTCATGGATAATCAAGAATTAGTCAAAGATTTAATTCCAAAATTCATGCAGCAATTACTTTTCCTTAAACAACGTGCACAAATATTCGCTCCTGAGAAGAAAACAAATGAGAAAGTCAACTCACAACCATTGCCAGTCGTCAGTACTGTTCAATCAAATCTCACAGATACTCCCCATGTGCTGAAAATCGCTTCATTTTTGTCGATTAATCGCGATGGTTGAAAAAATCGACGCTCATCGTGATTCGGGAAAAAATGATTATTTAATCGCGATTAAGTGATAATTTTCGCGATTAATCGATGACTTTGTCAACCATCGCGATTAATCACGAAAATCATCAATTAATTGCGATTAATTGTTGATTTTAAGTGATTAAATGGTTGTTGTTATTCACCGTTTTCTTTTGCAATAAATTTTGTATATAAGAAACACGATTTCAGCGAAAAAATACACTTTTATTCAGACCATCTTTTTATTTTATAATACAACGGAGTTGTCAAGAGTCTTCTCTATTGTTCCTCAGAGCTTTAAACCGAGAAGCCCACTGAACAG